AACCGTGGTGGATGTAGGAAAAGTTTCACAATGATCGCATTACACGACAAAGCTGTGTATGCGATGAGGGCGTAACAGATAGTTCAATTTTCCCCTACATACAGAAACATACAGGAATCCAGTGTTTCACCGCAGGTCAAACCACGGCTCAAGTACGGCCCAACAGTGGAGCTTAGACTGGAAAAGAATCTGAAGCTCTTGCCGTGATTATAAGAAGTATACTGGTATAAGGGTTTAAACTTTCAAGTTACCAGTCAGCTTGCAAGGTCAGTGGCTAGTTTAATGTTTCTTCGAAGCATCGTTTCGCACAAAGTGCGTATGCTCGCTTTGGCTCACCAACAACAGACACCCAGCATGTCCCCTGCGTGAACAAGCTGCATCACGCGATGTGATGTTGAGTGAGTATTGCAGCATGAGCAACATGAAAAAATGACGATCCGAGTCGCTTTTCCTTTCAGCGACTGCACAGCCTTGGTGCCACGAGAGTCATGCTAAGTGATGACTGGGTCGGGAGCCTCGTTTTGGAAGCGGGGTGATGCAGCCGGGAGGCTCGACCAAGCTTTCCCCTTCCTGCACCTGCACCCGAGCTGGCGTGTGAAGGAAAATGAGTGACGATTGCAGCCCTTGGTTGGAATGAACGAATATTCGTCTTCTATATATCAACGCATATCAGATTGATTGAGGAAACTTTGAGCACGGTTTGTGTTTGGAAGTATAAGTGCTATTTCACCGGAGGTGACAATCACCTTGTCTTTCCAATCACAAAATTTCGAGAACCCTTGTAGGTTTCGAAATAGTGCTCCCGAAAGCTTTCCCTCAAGTTTTGATTTTTAACCTTTGCAAACCTTGTTTACATGTTTGCACGCATCGTTCACATGCACCTAAACAGCCGACGCAGCTCGGGCTTCAGTGCCTGGTGAGCTTTTTCCCGCCCGCCCGCCCTTTTGCGACCGTCTTCGAGTGCTGTGGGTTTTTTGGGGGGTCACTCTGCACAGTCTCTCTTCGACTGTGGAGCGGTTTGCTGTGCCTACCCCAGCCGTTTGATGCGGCCGGGAGGCTCGACGAAGCTTTCCCGTTCTTCCAACCCAGCTTGCGTGTGAAGGAAAATGAGAGACGATTGCAGCTTTCGGTTGGAATGAACGAATGTTCATGTTCTATATATCAGCACGTATCAGATTGATTGCAGAAACTTTGAGCACGGTTTGTGTTTGGAAGTTTTAGAGAATTTTCTGAGAGCACACGTTAGGGCTAGATGGAAATGTAAAATCCATGAGAGCATTCATGCTACTAGCCCATCCATTGGCCAGAGCATCCATGCCTAAACCTCAGAGCTGTTAAGTCAGACATTCTTTTGCTGCCGGGGTGAATAGAAACGTGTTGCATAACCTGATCTTCAGCCTGCCTCCCGTCCTGCCGTTGCACTGCCCTCTACAAATCAGCAAGTCCGGCCGCGCAGAAACATAGATTTTTTCGTTTTTTGCCCAGCCTGACACCACAACGGGGATGCCCTGTTGACCAGTTTGACATACGCATGTAAAATCAGCAACATCGGCCGCGCAGAAATTTGGAGTTTTTGGCGTTTTGTGTTCCGCATGACATCATAATGGGGAGGACATGTTGAACAATACTAGCAGTTACTAACATACGAAATATCGGCTTGCCATGCTTCTCGCACTGTGTCCCAAGACAAACTGGGGCAAACGATGGCGATGGAACCTTCGAATAGGCTGATCCAAATGTTTGATTTTGGGTCCATGTTCTTGCGATGCTACTGAAAGCATCAAACCCCTCACTACGGTTTTATAGGACCAAGTGACGCTTACGCTTGGGTCAAGCATCGGTTCAACGGGCGAGCCAGCAGAGTGTACGAATAGCGTAGTTGTTGTACTGTAGCAGCTGCGTAGTGTAGTGCAGTGCAGTGCATTGTACTGGGGTGTGGAGGGGCATTGTGTCACAAGCACGGCAGATGTATGACAACCGCACTTGGAGGGCATTCCTCATGGGCAAAGATGGAATTAGCAGACTTGCAGGATCTTATAGAGTTGAGTTCAAGAGCTTGTGGTCGAAGTTGTGGTGACAAGCCTTTGTCATAAGAAGCTCGAAATTGACGAGCAACACTGAACACAGGCGCATCCAACACCTTGAGCAGCTTGAAGCTGCTACAACTTTCTCCAGGCCGATCTAGGGTTCCTTTGGTTGCAATATCTTTCATGGCCATGCCTCCAGCAGCAACGCAGCCAGGCGGCTGGTGCAAGCCTTGGGGATTTGAGCGTTTCAGTATGATCAGAGCGCAGGCGGCGTAGGGGACTTGAAATGTCAGAGTTGTGTGTGTCTGGGTGTGTCTGCGTGCCGTTCTCAATGTTGTGACAGGCAGGGCGTTTCGTGCTGTTTCGCGCCCTTGCACGAACTCTGAACGAGTCCCTGCGCTTACTCTGCAGGCGTTTTCGTCGACACGGCGATCGAGAAGAACCAGTTGGACAAGGAGCTCGCGGTTCAGGAGGAGCTGGGGAAGAAGTGGTTGCGACGCCCAGCTGCACACCAAATTGTGGAGGCATTGTCATTCTCCTTGTTGTTATTGTTTTTCTTTCTTTTACCAGTGTTGTATATGTCTGCTCGGAACGGTCACAGCCGCAAAGCTCAGGCATGAATTAGATCGGGGATGTTTTCAGCGAGCTCGATTCCAGTGGGGATGGCATCATTACGCAGCAGAAGTTCGAAATCCAGCTGTAACCCGGCAGCAGTCAGCTCGGGCATCGGGTATTGCGTTCGTGGCGTGTCTCAAGAAACCGCCAATCCCCGAACACCAAGAACAAACCCTGTAAAGCCTAAATCATTGCGAACCTGCGAACCCTGAATGCCGCTCCGATTCGCTCAGGCCGACTTCAACACGTTGAAGCTGGACGCGAGCGATGCCAGGACGACCTGCTTGCGCCTTTTCGACAGCCCCTCGACATCTCTAAAGTGTTTCCGCAGGCAGAGCGAGCCCGAAGGTAAGCCTACGACTCCGCAATCCCGGGAACTCCAGAGCAAGTCCAAGCAGCACCGATGCCAAGTGTCAGAACCCCCCCCTCCAGCACCCCCCACGGTGTCTGAAAGGCCTTCTTCCTCGCAGCATCCAGCACATAGCGGATACCGGTCGCAGCTTTCTGGCATTCGCACACCGTCTCCACAGAGAGGGTGGGCTCTCCGGCGCGGACGCGGATGCTTGCGGAGCGCAGGCAGTGTCAGAAGAAGCGGAGAACAGGCGGCAGAGAGCCCCTCAGAGCCGCCGCGGTTCCGGGCGGCCGGTCAGGCGCTCTTTAAAAAGGGGGCGGGGCGGGGGGGGGGGCCCTGGCCATGGCCAGGGGTGCCGCTTCCGGCCTTCCCAGCTGCGGTGGGGGCCCTGGGGGGGGGCGACGCTCCAAAGAAAAAAGGACCCCTGGACTCTTCCGGGCCGCCGCAGCGGCCGCAGATAGATCTCTGCTTTCCGCTGGTTTTCTAGTCCCCCCCCCAAACCCTCCGGAGAAGATGCATGCTGATGAGACGGAGACCGACCGAGACCGTCAATACCACTTGGATGTTTGAAACTTCCAGAAACGACCACCTGAAACCAGCCGTAAAAACTAGTTGAGGCCAGGCTTCCGGGGGGGGGGGGCGGCAAACGGCTCCTGAGGCTGGGAGACAGACAGACTTAGGCAGGAGGTGGCGGTCAGGCCGGGCAGGTGGGCTCTCAGTTTCTCCATCTCAGGCGATGGCTCGGATGGTCTCAACATTGACGAGTTCCTCCGGCTGCCACCGTTTGTCTGGTGAGGCTACCACGCTCCACACGCAGGTGCACGCATTGAAGTTGGTTCACACCACGGCCTGTTAGCCAGGCCGGATGGAGGCTGCCACAGCTAGGGACCTGCGCTTGTGGCCGATCGACGGGTCATGCAGATGGACGTCAAAGATATCCTGAACAACCTGCACCCTGCCGTATATACTCCCATATCTGTGGGCACATCAGAACTAGCAGCTGAGGATAGATGTCCGGGAGTTTTTGGAAGGTTTGCCAAATCGACCGAGGGGCAGCGGCAGTCGACCCTCTCAGCGTGAGAGCTCGCTTTTGCAATTGCAATTTCCCACTCAACACGCCAGTTTGAGAGCGGCAAGGTGAGAAATCTCAGGCCCGTATCCTCTTCGATTCAATGCAAGAGGGGTCTCCAAGCCTCGACTTCAGGAGTCCCAAACTCGTTTACTCAAGTGCAGTTTGTTTCTGCCGGACTTGAGGGCGATGCTTTTATTCACTCTCAAAGAGAGTTGCTGCGCAGTTTAATTCGGTGCGCATCTCATCGCCAGGCTAAGAGAAGGGCCATCGCGCCCAGGAGGCGGGAGGCACTCCTCCCTGGGTGTCTTTCGAAACGGGGGCCGGCTGTGCAGAAAAATCTCTGACCTGGCACGTCTTCAATGCGGCGGGGGCCGGGGGGTTTCAGCTCTGATCGGCTCGTGTCTGTTCGCATTTCCCTCGATGGCTTGAGGGAGGAGCCCTGAAGCAACGGCGAAGTACGGGATGTCAAGGATTGCAAAGAGATCGACACCACGTTTGACGTTTGTGTTTGGTCAATCACGTTAACCCTGCAGTGCCTCCCAGCGCGGTCTTGATCTTGCACAGCTTCTCATAGCGGCATAGGGTCATGTAGGACACTCGTATGCCATGGCCAAAATCTGCCTTGAAGCCGGTCGAGTTGTGGACGATGTGCTCTCCAGCCGATCCGGCCTGCAGGCTGACGTGCTTTCGGTCTAGATCATGACTCGTCGTACCTAGACAAACTAGTGTACCGTGAAAAACGGCAATGACCTTCAACAATTGGTGCATTTAAGTTCTTGGCTTGGAGCCTGCTGTGACTGTGAGTCCATCATGCAGAGAAGTCATTCGAAGCGTTTCTGAAGGCAGCCCTTATGTCCAGCAAACGAGCAGGTGGTACTAAAGTGTTGCGCTGGTTTTCGGCATGATTGCATTCCCTCATGTGTGAGGACTACAGATGATGTCGAAGTTCACCAGTCGTGGTTGCAGAAGTGCGTTTGCAGCACCGGCTATGAGATTTTGCAGCCGCCTGGATTGAGCTTAGAAGCATTCTGGACCTGGGTTTCAAGAAGCAGACGTGCCCGACAAACAAACCGTCAGGTATACTGCTTTCTGATCGGGTTTGGATAGTACCACTTATATCTACTAATTAACTGTTTAGTCGCCTCTAGTAGAGCATCGAGTTGAAGCCCTGTTCTGATGCATTTTCATGCACATTTGTGCATACCCGTCTTTTTTCATTTCCATTGAGGTCCTCGGTGCGAGTTTCTGGATCCGCATGCGCCCGAGGTGCTGTGCTGATTTTAGTGAATGCTATCTTCGTCTGTTGGCAGACAGAGTCTTGGCCAACCTACAGTGTTTGTGCATCGTGAGCTGCCCTCTATTCGATTCTGTGTGATTCTTCGCGGTGCTTCGGAACATTTGACCCAGACTGACAACAAAGATGATAAGGGATTTGATCGCGCGTTCTTCTATGCAGCTTGGCGGCATCTCCTGTAGAGGATAGGAACCTGGCCTGTGTGGGCTGTACTTGCCCTCGAGTTTCCACTTTCGCCGTGAGGTTACACAGATTTCGTTCTTTGTAGTATTCTTTCTGGACCTCGTCATGCGCTGGCTTGCAGATGGCTTCCTGTTTTTCATCTGCAGTGAAGCAACTCTGCACTTTTGCCGTGCGCTGCTGGCAGCATGGGCTGCTATTATTTCGATGTCCTGAGAATGGTCGCCCTGTCGAGGAAATGTTGTGGAACCTGCTCGACAAATCGGCTGCATGGAGGTGGTCACCGAGACGCTGTTTTCTTGCAGGATCTGAGACTGGAGCTTTGATGACAAGCTTTTCGGCCCCTGTCTTAGCTCAGCGAGCGAGAGGATGAGCCCGGCACCATCATGCAAGCTTTTCCCAGTGCAGGTCTTGAGGATGATCCGCGTGCTGCATGTGGCGTGTGGTTCGCATAGCAAGGGCAGCTTCACATCAACCTTCAGCTTTCGGTGAACATCATTTCGCTCGCCATACAGCCTTGCAAGTGAGCTCCCTGGGAGCTTAGGTCATCCGATTCCTGAAGGCTGGGTGAACAAAGCAGGAGTTCCAAGAGCGACAGTTCAAGCTTACCCGCAGGCGTTTCGAGAACTTCGTCTGACGGTGGCTTCGATTATTATTAGCTCAGATGCCCGTCAGCAACAAGAAGCCTTCTATTTCCTGCTTTGCATCGTCCTGGTGCTCTGTGTCATGCTTTGCGCCGCCAGCCTGCGATGGCGTTGGGCACTGAACGCAGATGCTGTGAATAATTCCATGTGCTCTGAGGCAAAAGGTTTTTGGAATCACCTTCACCTGCGCGGTGGCCGGGTAGCAGTCTGTGTCAGTACCTGCCCTCCGTTTCCTTTTGACTTCGGCGTGGGTTTGTCCTCGTTGGATCGCCTGTCTCTCAGGGCCGGTTGGATGTGCTGGCGCTGCCATTATGCCGATCCCCCCAGTGAATGCAGACGGAACTGCAAGCCTTGAGCCTGCCGTGTTTGGCTTCGGCACCTCGGACGCCGAGCTTGGTCTGGACCACTGTCTGCTCATGGATGCAAGCGAGGCTGACTACTACCGCTGCTGGTGCTGTGCGTTCGAGAACGACGTTCCGTCGGACACCTGGTGCCAGCCAGCAAATTGCGCTCTGAGTATCCGGTCTGTCCATGCGGCTCAGGGAGCCCGCATCATGGTCCTTTCTGCTTGTGTGGCGTGGACTCTGCAGTGCAAGGGTTCCCGGAAGCGGAATCGCAGAGTGCGCCGAGGCTGGGCGTGTCTTTCTACACTGCAGTGCTTTCGCACGTTGCCATTCGCAGGGTTTCATCTCTCCCTCTGTGTCTTCGCTTGCTGTTTTTGTCCTTCGCGACAGCATCACAGTTACGATTACAAGCACAAAGATCCGGGATGTGTATTCCGCTTCCGCAGGATTTGTCCTGAATGGAAGGCGGTGCGGCAGCTTATCAAAGATCTCGTTGGTTAAGGTGGAAACTTTCAACGCGTGGACTCTAGGTATGTGATTTCCATGACAGCGATCGCACAATTCCATATTCCACTGCCGTGGTTCGAGTCGACGGAGCTGCTGCCTATGTTGGGTTCGGGCTATGCTTCTTTGCTTTCGGCCAACTGCAGAATGTGAATTCTGCCTCTGCTTTCCGACTGTTGGGCTCATGACGGCATCCGGCCCCCGTTCCAGACTTCCGCTTGCAGTGTTGGGAGCAATTGCACAGTAGAGCTGTCAGGCATCTGCAGGAAGGTGATGCGCGGTGATCGTGGCCCGGCGGGTACTTGTGACATATCTGCCGGACGCGCTGAGAGCACGCGGCCCCCGGCGGGTCCCCGAGCCGAGAGCCGGAAGCCGGAAGCGAGTACACCAACGAGAGCTCCTCCAAAACAGCTTTTCTTCCTTAAAATTCCCCACTCATTGTGTAAAACCATTTCAATTTTGAAGACTTCTGTGTCATTTGAATGAGGGAACTATTTTACCGTAACGCTCTTCTCTCTCTGCCTGCAGCATCCCAGCTCGTGCATTTACTCTCTCCAGAGTTTCGTATGTGTCCGAGGTATTTTCTCAAGGGGGCATGCGGAGGTTTGTCCCTGGGACGGGTCGGGAGTTTAGCGAGAAGGATTCATGGTTCGGTGTTCTCTTTGATGGATCGTGAGACTCGTGGGAGTTTCCGAGTCGGTTCGATCACTGAGCCTCCACGCAGTCTTCATCTGGGCAGGCTTCCGCTGGTTCTTCTAGGTTGGTGGGTCTTGAAGTATTGAGCTCATTTTGATTTTCAAGCCCCCTTTCTCAGGAATCAGGTCACGGCAAGCTGATCTGCAAAGAAGTGTATGTGACATGCGCAGTGCTGCTCGTCCGCCCGGGCTGCAGAGCGGAGCGGTCATGGTTGCAACACTGTGGCATAGCACAGTGTTGTCATAGTGTGTGGCGGCATGTCCTGACGCCTTGAGTTTCAAACGATTCCGGGCGTCAGTATGAAGATCCAAATCAAAACATCAGAGCTTTGCTTAGATACCTTTTCTTCTTCATACCACTCTTTCCTTTGCCTGTGCGCGTTTCCGGCTGCTGCTTCTCCGTGTGTTCTGAGCCCTCTGTTGAATGAGCCGTTCGGATAGCCCGCGGCTTGTACTTCAAGACTTCGCATCGGCGCCATTGATAGTTGAAAGACCCGGTAAGGTCATCAGTCGGTCAGATCCAAGGCCCTGCTTCCGCCTCGGTTCCAGTCGATGTCTGATGCTTGGCTGCGAAGTCGTGCTACGCAGGTCAATGCTCGTCTTCATCTGCATGCGTTTGCACCTCAGAAAGGGAAACATGGTGAGTTGCTGGTGTGCTTCGCTGTCAGACAGTCACGTTGCGCTTGCTTCTTTGGATTTCTTTACACACTGACTTTGGGAGGGGGAATTATGGGTGCATTTTTGGAGTTTTTTCCGATTCGGTGTTTGGATATGTTTACACATTGATTCTGGGAGGGGGGAACTATGGGCGCATTTTTGGAGTTTTTTCCGACTCGATGTTTGTGTATCTTTATACGCTGATCTTGGGAAGGGGGAATTCTGGGCGTTTTTTTGGATTTTTTTTTGGATTCGGTGTTTGGGTTTCTTTACACGCTGATTTTGCGAGGGGTGGAACTATGGGCACATTTTTGGATTCTTTTCGATTCGACGTTTGTGTATCTTTACACGCTGATTTTGGTAGGGGGGAACTATGGGCGTTCTTTTTTTGGAACTGTTTGGCCGATTCGGTGTTCGGATATGTTTGCACACCGATTTTTGGGAGAGGGGAATTCTGGGCGCAGCTTTGGAGTTTTTTGACTCAGTGTTTGGATTTCTTTACACACTGATTTTGGGAGGGGGGAACTCTGGGCGTTTCTTTGGAGTTCTTTTTTTTCTCGATTCGGTGTTTGGACTTCTGTGCACACTGATTGTGCGAGCGGGGGCCTATGGGCGTTCTTTGTTTGGATTTTTTGGTAGATTCGGTGTTTCGGTATCTTTGCACACTGATTTTTGGGAGGGGGGAATTATGGGCGCATTTTTGGAGTTTTTTCCGCTTCGATGTTTATGTATTCTTACACGCTGATTTTGGGAGGGGGAACTATGTGTTTTTTTTTTTGTTTTCGTTTCGGTGTTTGGATATGTTTACACATTGATTTTGGGAGGGTGGGATTGTGGGCGCATTTTTGGACTTTTTTTTTTCGATTCGGTGCTTGGATATCTTTACACACTGATTTTGGGAGGGGGGAATTCTGGGCGTTTTTTTGGAGTTTTTTTGATTCGGTGTTTGGGTTTCTTTACACGCTGAGTTTGGGAGGGGGGATTTATGGGCCCATTTTTGGATTTTTTCAATTCGATGTTTGGATATCTTTACACGCTATTTTTGGGAGCGGAGAATTCTGGGCGCATTAGTGTTGTTTTTTCTCGATTCGATGTTTGGATATCTTTACACACTGATTTTGGGAGGGGGAATTCTGGGCGCATTTTTGCAGATTTCTTCGATTCCTGATTTTGGGAGGGGGGAGTTATGGGCGCGTTTTTGGATTTTTTCTATTCGGTGTTTGGATTTCTTTGCAGACTGGTTTTGTGAGGGGGGAATTATGGGCAATTTTTTTTGAGTCGGTGTTTGGATTTCTTTACACGCAAATTTTTGGGAAGTTTTTTGATTATTTGTGAATTTTTACACGCTGATTTTGGCAGGGGGGAACTATGTGCATTTTTTTCCGTCTTTTTTCTTGGGTATGTTTACATACTGATCTTGGGAGGGGGGAATTGTGGGCGCATTATCGATTTTTTTTGATTGGGTGTTTGGGTTTCTTTACACGCTGAGTTTGGGAGGAGGGAGCTATGCGCGTACTTTTGGAATTTTTTCCGATTCGATGTTTGTCTATCTTTACATGCCGATTTTTGGGAGGGGGGAATTATGGGCGCATTGTTGGATTGTTTTTTATTCGGTGTTTGGATATCTTTGCACACTAATTTGAGGGGGGATTTATGGGCGCATTTGTGTTGTTTTTTTGACTCGGTGTTTGGGTTCCTGGATATCTTTACACACTGATTTTGGGGGGAGGGAATTCTGGGCGCATTTTTGGAGATTTCTTCGATTCCTGATTTTGGGAGGGGGGAGTTATGGGCGCGTTTTTGGATTTTTTTCTATTCGGTGTTTGGATTTCTTTGCAGACTGGTTTTGTGAGGGGGGAATTATGGGCAATTTTTTTTGACTCGGTGTTTGGATTTCTTTACACGCCAATTTTTGGGAAGTTTTTTGATTATTTGTGTATTTTTACACGCTGATTTTGGCAGGGGGGAACTATGTGCATTTTTTTCAGTCTTTTTTCTTGGATATGTTTACATACTGATCTTGGGAGGGGGGAATTATGGGCGCATTATCGAATTTTTTTGATTCGGTGTTTGGGTTTCTTTACACGCTGAGTTTGGGAGGAGGGAGCTATGCGCGTATTTTTGGAATTTTTTCCGATTCGATGTTTGTGTATCTTTGCATGCCGATTTTTGGGAGGGGGGAATTATGGGCGCATTGTTGGATTGTTTTTTATTCGGTGTTTGGATATCTTTGCACACTAATTTGAGGGGGGATTTATGGGCGCATTTGTGTTGTTTTTTTGACTCGGTGTTTGGGTTCCTGGATATCTTTACACACTGATGTTGGGAGGGGGGAACTATGGGCGCATTTTCGGAGATTTCTTCGATTCCTGATTTTGGGAGGGGGGAGTTATGGGCGCGTTTTTGGATTTTTTTCTATTCGGTGTTTGGATTTCTTTGCAGACTGGTTTTGTGAGGGTGGAACTATGGGCAATTTTTTTTG